ACGCAGACGCGTCCCCACACATCGTGCGCGTCCAGGGCAGACACACATCCGGGCTCGTACAGAATGAACACGCGTCCGTGCACGTCCGGGCCGAACACACGTACGCGCAACCAATGCACAGACCGATCGTGAAGGTGCCCGGAGATGCACACGCGGAAGCACAAGGGTCCACACCCGTATTCACAGACCCGCATACATCCACCCCGAAAAGCACACTCACATGGGCACACACGCCCGCATTTCCACGTGCCCTTCCCAGGAAGTCAGATCCGTCTCCCTGGATGGCAGAGGTGGTGCAGGAAGAACCAATGTGGTTTCTGGGATCTGAGAAAGTGAAGGGACACACAGCCAGTTGGACGGAGCAGACACAGTGACTCCGGATTTTGAACAGAAGTCAATTCCTCAGTCGCCTTTGGACATCGTTTCCTTGTTGTTTTAATGTTTACTCATCTTTGAGAGAGAGAGAGCACAAGCTGGGGAGGGGCAGAGAGAGAGGGAGACACAGAATCCGAAGCAGCTCCAGGCTCCGAGCTGTCAGCACAGAGCCCGATGCGGGGCTCGAACTCACGGACCATGAGATCGTGACCTGAGCCGAAGTCGGACGCTTAACCCACTGAGCCCCCCAGGCGTCCCTTGGACATCGTTTCAGACGCTGACCCTGTAACGTCCCCCAAACCTGATGATGCTCCTGCATGGTGAGCCGCAGCCATCTCCCACCCGTTAAGGTTTTAGGGGTGACGTCGTGTCCCGTGGCCCCAGACTCCACGTCTAACTCCCCACAGCCCCCTCCCCCGGGATGCCGGCCTGCCGTCACCGCACCCTGGGTCCCCAAAACCAGCAATGGAAAAGGCACCGCACCCAAATCCACAGCTCCTGGCCAGGGTCCTCTCCCTGGTGGTGGCCGCACAGGCTGGTGTCTCAGAGGCCTCCGCACCCCCTCCTTCTCTCACACCCCGCGTGGACTCATCGGGAAATTCCTCCGAGATGTACCTGGGATCCACCCGCTTCTTCCACCTCCACGGCAGCAGCACGAGCCCACACCCCGCGTCACCTGGATGGGGGCAGGGGTCTAGCCCCACCCACGCCTATGACCACAGAAGCCGGACTGATTCCACCGAACATGGGCCGATAACAGAAGAACAATAGAGAAAATCAATACAACAAAGCTGGCGGCAAAATGGATGAGGCTTTCGCGACACCGACCAGGAGGAAAGCACAGAACACTCGGGTCCCCAAAACCAGCAATGGAAGAGGCACGTCCCGCCAACCTCAGGGAGCCGAGAGGGGAAAAGGGAATATACCAGGCACAACTATACCCCCAACAAACCAGACACCTAGACAAAGGCACAGATTCTCGGAAAGCCGCCAACTATCAAAAATGACATCAAAGGAAATCAAAAGCTTTAACTGATCTATAACAAGTAAATATTGAGTCAGTGATCAGAAAACTTCCCACAACAAAAAGCCCAGAACCATATGGCTTCACTGGTGAATTCTAAAAATGTCTAAAGATGAATGAACACAAGTCCTTCCCAAACTCTTCCAGAAAATCAGAGAGGAAGAAGCACTTGTCAACACGTTCCTCGGGGCCGTTATCCTGATGCCAAAACCGCAAAGACCACATTCCTCATGAACACGCAGCAGTCAGTGCGCTGAAGCAGATTTGATGAAGGACACACCACACGGTCGTCTCCACAGACGCAGAAAACAGGAGCCAGATGCCCCCTCCTCAGTGCAACCCCCCCCCACCCTCCGCAAAAGCTGGACCCACTCTCTGCCCCTCCCCCACTCGTTCTCACTCTCTCAGAAATATATAAACATTTGGGGCGCCTGGGGGGCTCAGTCAGTTAAGCGTCCGACTTCAGCTCAGGTCACGATCTCACGGTTCGTGGGTTCGAGCCCCGCGTCGGGCTCTGTGCTGACAGATCAGAGCCTGGAGCCTGCTTCGGATTCTGTGTCTCCCTCTCTCTCTGCCCCTCCCCTGCTTGCACTCTGTCTCTCTCTTTCTGTCAAAATAATAAATAAACATTAAAAAATTTTAATAGAAAAACAAATGAATGTTTCGGGTGGCTGGTGATGCAGCCTTCCACTCAGCAAGCGGTGACCCCCCCCCCCCCCCGCCAAGTACCTGACACTGTGTTTCAGGCCGAGAGCTGAGGAAGGTGGGACCCCCCCGGGCCCCTGGGCTGGGACAGGGGTCAGAGCATAAGTAACTGTGGCCTAAGGAAGACCTCACAGAGAGCAGGAGGGTGGGAGTGGGGGGCAGGTGGAGCCCAGCAATTCCGGAGGGCTCCACGGAGGAGGGGTGCGGAGGGAGCCAAGGGAGGGTCGGCCAGACAGACGTGGGGACCAGGAGGGGTCCTGGCATCAGCACTGCAGGGGACATGGCTGGTCAAGGGAGTCATGAGGGGCTTCGAGCCCCACGAGAGGAGCTGGGCTCAGTTCCAGAGGCGCCAGGGGCCCCGGAAGGTCCGCGGTGTCTCTGGCAGTGGGCAGGTGAGCAGACCAGGAAGGGGCTCCTGGCACCGGTCCCACAGACAGACGGCAGGAGCCGTGCCAGGCAGAGGGCCCGAATCTCAAGCCGGAACGTCAGTTAGAGGCACAGACGGAGCCATGGAAGGGCTTCTGCTCAGGAGGCCCGGAAGGTTCCGCGCTGCTCCTGGAAGGCGGGAGCCTGGCTGCTGGCTTGGTGCCGCTGGGTCCCACGCCAGGCCCACACACGAGTCACGGAGGGAGCAGCCTCCCAGCATCGGAGGGACGCGCCCCCGGCCTGCCCACCATCCGGCCCGCAGCCCCTCACCCCTGCGGCAGGCCCAGAGAAGAGTTTCTCCGACTCTGTCAGCCGGGTCGCAATGTCACTTCTAGACGAGCCATCCAGCCCTGGAGATGCGCCAGGCTGCAGAGGGGGAGACAGCTGTGTCCCCTAAACACAGCCAAGGAGCCGCCTCCCAGAGCCAAACAGGACGGTGGCAGAAGCAGAGCTGGCAGGGGACTGGGCCCCAGCCGATGCAGGGACGGCCTTTGACAGACCTCCATCTGCCTGCAAGGTCAGGCCCGCTGAGCCCCAGCAGCCGGGACTCTGGCCCCGCTCAGGGAGCTGCTCCCTCGGCCCGGATGCCAGTAAGCATCTAGGCACTTATTAGCACCTACTGTATGCCAGGCTCCGTTCCTCCCCCACGGGAGCGACAAGGGTCAGCAGGGCATGAAGGACACAGACTACGGGCTGGCTCTCGGCTCTGTCTGTCCCACTATCTGTGTTCTGTCTCCGGGCCTCGGTCTCCCAATCTGTAAGTGGGGGTGAGAAAGCCCTTCCCCCCCTGTTAGCAGCGCTAACAGGACCTGTCTGTCCTCCGGGAATTTCGGCAGAAGCCCACCCAGACCTTCAGAGACACGCCATCCCCTCCCTCAGGACCTGGGGAGAGAAACCACGGCCCCGTATGGCCCCCTCCCCCTGGCTTCTAGAGGGAAGGCCGCAGGCGTGGGCTGGGGAGGGTTAACCTGAAGAGTAGGAGAGCTGGCGAGGGGCTCCGAGCGACCCAGCCACAGACAGAGGACACGAGCCAGCGGAGTGCTGGGGCCGCCCGAGTGGAGCTCACACAGGGCACCGTGGGGGCACCCCTTCGTGTCACCCAGGGGCACGAGGATGCCGGCCCCGAGCTCCTCCCCAGGGCATCCGGGGTCCGACAGACGCCAGGCAGAGGAGGCAGGCCTGAGGGTCACGAGAGGGGAGCCCCGGTGGTGGGTCCAGCAGGAGCAGCTGAGCCGAGAGGAGGGAAGCCTTGGAAGACGGAGGTGACAGTGTCACCTGCACCAATAATTGGATGTTGCAAATGCCAGGGCTCCAAAAAGTGCCCCCAAGAGAGCGACCCGTGCTGGTCAGCCAGCATCTGGAATCTGGCACCAGGAGGACACGGACACTCGGGAAAACCCACTCTGGGCACGGTAACACGTGCCCCATTTCAGGCCGTCCTTCCCGCCTGCCCAGTCCGGAGCGGGGCCAGGGACCAGGGCAGAGGCGGACCGAGGAGAACCAAACGGCCCGCAGCTCCCTCTCGCCCCAGTGCAACATCTGGGCCTGGACAGACACTATTTGGAAGCAGGACCAACGTGTTGACTTTCCAGTTCGTGGGTGTGACAGTGGGCTCTGGGCGTGGCTCTGGTCTCGGTCTGCTCGGTGAAGCCCACCTGCGTGTGCAGGGGCAGCTGTGTCCACGGTGGGGTCCCCAGGGCCTTGGGACGGGAGAGGAGGGGAGGGGATCCCATCTGGCTGGGGCTAGGCTGGCACCAGCTTCCCAGAATCACTGGCCCTTTCCCACTGGTGAGACCATCAGGGCTGGGGCTTTGGGGAGCAGGGGGTGTGCATACAGCCCCACCCATACACCACGGTGCCCGAGGGACCCAAACATGCATGGAACCCAAGCGGGAACGGTGAATTCTGACAGGAGCCTGGGACGGTCTGGAAAGGCTCCTGGAGATGCAGCGTTTGAGCTGGGCCTTGCAGGAGGAGCTCAAGGGAGAGCCGTGCCCCTGCAGAGGGACAGGCACAGCAAAGGCCGGCAGGTGTGAGCCCGTCACTGGTACGGCCACAGGGTGGGGCACACGGAGGGGTAGGATGGAATAGAGCCCGGAAGACGAGAGAGCATCAGATTGCTGCCTTTACAGCGGCGTCGGCACGGGCCATGGCCAGTCTGGGCTTCACTCCCCTCACCTGTCACCCCATCTCTCCTGGCTCTCACAGCACATCCGAGGAACAAATGCGTCCCACCGCCTCCCATCAAAGCCTGCACCAGCAGCTCAGAGCCAGAAAGGCTCAGGCTCAAACCCCAGTTCTGTTCCTCCCTAGCGGTGCCACTCTGGGTAAGCCTCAGTTTACGCCTCTGTAAAATGGGGGTAGCAGGCTGTCCCTGGACGGAGTGATAAACATAATGTACGTAAAACCTGGCCCGGCGTCGGCCCACGCGAACAAACAGCACCCACCCACACCACCAGCGGGCACTCACTTACATAGGAGGCCAGGAACGTGGTCGGGGCCAGGATGAGAGCCAGGAAGAGGCAGGGGGCTGCGACCAGAAGGCTGCCGGCGCAGAGGAGGGGCTCGGCCCGAGGGTTGACTTTCTTGTACCTCCTGGAAGCCTCTGCTCCCAGGACAACTCCAATGATGCCAGTCACGACAGTCAGCGCCCCAAAAATCAGGCTGATGGGAAAGAGCAGAGCAGGGTTACTCGGCCAGGTGGGGGTAGCCCTGTCCTGGGGTTCAGCCCCTGCCCCGAGTGCGTGATCGGGTACCTGCGGGGAGTGTGACTGTGGGCCCCCTCCCCGCCCTCCTAACCAATGCTCCTGGGTCCTCAGGGCCCCTCCCTCCATTTTCCTTCCTGCTCCGTCCTGGGGAGGTCACTGGCCACCAGGGTGGCTGGCCCAGCAGGCCTCACTGCTCAAACAGCCCCTCCTAACTGCACTCCCTGTCCCTACTCCCGGACCCGCTTCCCCTACACCTGACCCCCTCCTGCACCTGCTGCCTGGGGAAGGGTTCCTCAGACCGAATTCCAAGCAGGTCCCCAGAGGGTGCTTTCTAAAATACAGGTTTGATGGGGCGCCTGGGTGGTGCAGTCGGTTAAGCGTCCGACTTCAGCCAGGTCACGATCTCGCGGTCCGTGAGTTCGAGCCCCGCGTCGGGCTCTGGGCTGATGGCGCAGAGCCTGGAGCCTGTTTCCAATTCTGTGTCTCCCTCTCTCTCTGCCCCTCCCCCGTTCATGCTCTGTCTCTCTCTGTCCCAAAAATAAATAAATGTTGAAAAATTTTAAAAAATATATAGGTTTGAAAAAATAATAATACAGAGTGCCCACCCCTGCCTAAAACCCCCACCAGCTCTCAGATACCACTGGATTTTGTGCCAACTCATCGCAGCCCGTGTGGCCCTCTGTGGTCTGACCCTGGCTGACCTCAACCCCATCCCCCAGCTCCAACCTCTGCCCCCAGATGGGCTCTTGTCCCCACTTCACACTTTTATTCCTACATCCGGACACTCCTCACTAGGTTTCCCACCTACTGAACTCCTACTCATCCGTCAAGACCCATCACAAGATCCCCTCTTTGGAGATGCCTTCCTCCGTCCCCTTGCTGATTCCTTCACTCCCTTCAGTTCCCAGATCTGCTTCTGTGTTTCTACCATCAAGGTCATTCACTAGCCTGCTGATTCCTGGAGGACACAAACCAGGTGCGCCTTAATCTCCCGACTACGCTAGCACACAGAACCTGGAGTACAAGAGACAGTCCCAGAACTGCCGGGCAGACAGCCACAGGGGGCAAGGTGGAGGAAGGATAAGGCAAGGTCACTCAGCTAATGCAGCAGCAGAGCCAGGATCTCAATGCCCACCTGCCCCCCCGCCCAGCCTCCTTTTAAAGGGGTTCAAGGGACGCTGACCTAGACGAACCACGGATGTAGTCGGGGCCTCTCCAGCGCTCGGTGGCCTCCCGTTGTCCTCGGGCCAGCTCTGCGGACCGGCCCCTGCTGCCCGTGTGGCATCTCGCCCTTCTCTCTCCACCCCCACCTCTGCACAAATGACTGTGGGTTCTCCGGACTCACCCATCTTCCGGCCCCCCTGGCCTGGAGCGCCACTGCCCCACCCACCCCCCTCCCGCTGCCAGCACCCCCTCCTGGCCCAAGCATTTCCAGAAGTGCGCAGATGGCCTCCGGTATGGCGGGGTGATGACCATTCGCCAAGATGCAACACGACAGGTGCGAGACTGTGCTTACTGACAAACCGAGTCTTCCCAAAACCGCCTTTCCTCTAAACAGCTTCTGTGAAATATCCATCCCACAGGCTGAGGACGGTGGGCTAATCCCCCTGCCCCACCCCCTTGGTGAACAGGAGGGAGTGTAGGGCCCAGAGAGGGCAGGGACCTGCCCCAGGTCACACAGCCCCTCACTGGCACAGCCAGGGCCTCCTGACGAAGCACGTGTTGGCCTTAGGCAGCTTAAAGGTGCCCAGCGACCCTTCCCAGGCTACAAGCTGCACAAGGTTCTGGCTCAGGCCAGTCGAGTGACCCCGAATCCTGGAAGAATGCTGTCTACCTTGGAGTCCGGGTCTGAGCTGGCCCTGGAAGGTTCTGGAGACCTTCCTGAGACTTAGGATTGATTATTCAGACAGGGCCCTCCACTGGCCCCCACACAGGAGGTGTGGCCAGAGGACAGGCCCAGCCGCCAAGCTACCCCCAACCCACAAGACCTTCCCGGAATCGGACTCTCAGAGCCAAGAGGGTCCTTAACGTCCTGCAAGTTCCATGCTGACCCTCTGTACAATAGCCCTGGCAAGCAGCTGTCCAACTCCCACTTACATGCCCTGAGGGGCGGGAAGCTCACTACCACCATACGGCCCCTTCCACAGGGGCCAGCTCTGAGTGTTGGAAGTTCTCCCAGGGGCTAAGCCGGCATCCTTGTCCTGAAGCTTCCCTCCCTCGACGCACCCTCACCGTGGGGGCTACCCTAACCGCAGAGGGTGTGTTACTAGCTGAGGTCCATGCAGAACCCCAACACCAGGACCTTCTGCCTACCCTGTGGCAGGCTGAGTAATGCCCCCCAAGATGTCTATGCCCTAATCTCTGGAACCTTTACAAAGGTGATCGCATTAAGGGTCTTGAGAAGGGGAGATTAGTACCCGTTAACCGAGGCCCTCCATGTAATCGCCAGCATCTCTGTAAGAGGGAGGCGGAGGGAGACGTGAGACACAACAGGAGAAGGCAACGTGACCACAGCTGTGGAGGCTGTGGACGCGGCCACAAGCCAAGGGACACCAGCAGCCCCCGGAGGTGACGAGGCAGGAAGGACCATCCCCTGGAGCCCAGGAGGGCACGTGGCCCGGTGCAACCATCTGGACGCGAGGCCCCGGCCTCTCCGACAAAGGGACTCGCTTGCCCAGGGACACACAGCCACCGAACGCTAGACACACAAGTGAGTCCCGCGTCCCATGTTTTCAAGCTGCTGCGGGACTTTCAGGGCCCAGTCTTTGTGTCCAGGGAGGTGACAGTCTGGCTGTAGCTGCAAGGCCAGCATCACAATCCGTGTGGCCCATGCATTCACTCATGCACTGCTGCCTCCTCCCGGCCCCCGGGGTGCTCCAGGACGCGCCCCCAGCGAGGTGCGCAGATGTTCAAGTCCAGCAGGAACCGGCGTCTCCGGAGGCGACAGGACGTGGCGCTAAGACCACCGGCTTCGGAGTCCGAGGGGCTTGAACCTGCCTCCGCCACGTGCTGCCGGGACAAGTCACTTAATTTTCTGAACTTCTGTCTCCTCATTTGCAGCAGGAATAATCGGGTTTGTTATTACAACACCTCTGAGGATTCTTCACGTAAAATGCTCAGCTAACGTTACAGGTTAAGAAGTAACGATGGGAAGACGGAAGGGGACCTACGGGCAGAGGGCCCAGCTCGGGCATGGGGCATTCCGGAAATCACACGAAGCGCTCTCTGTGTCCCCAGAGAGGAGGCCAAGGAGACAGAGACAGAAGCATCGCCCCACAGGCCCTGCGGAGGCCTCACCCGCCTGCCAAGTGCCTCCCGGACCCCCACAGTGGCCCGAGAGCGGGGAGACTGGGGCCCAGAGGGGACGAGGCTGCCGCCTACGGCCACCGGAGGTGCAGGAGCTCAGCCAGAGTGGGAACCTGGCCTGCAGTCTGCCAGCAAGGCCCCAAGTCCCGGGGCACGTGCCCGCCCAGGGCTCCCAGCGGCCCCTCACCTGTCCGGGCTGCTGCACGGCTCCTGGAGGCAAGGGCGCTGCAGTCCATGCACCACACGGGCCTCGAACAGAAATGTGGGGGCCCAGAAGCCCAGAGCTCCAGTCACAAAGGCGATGGCAGTCACCCCGAGGGTGGACCACACAAAGCTCCAGCTGCAAGAGAAAGCGCCCTGGCTGACACCCCCAGAAAGGGCTGTGGCCGCAGGGCCCCTCTGCCCCTGTCACTGCCCTCCCAGCTCACCCTCCCCACCACAGCCCCCGCCACACCCCCATTCTCGCTGGGCCTTCCCCCCTCCTCTCTGCAAGACCAGCTCTCCCCGTCCAGGAAGGCCCAAACCCAACAGCACGTTCTCCAGGAAGCCGCCCCCGGCCCCCCCCCGGCCCCCCGCGGCCCCCCCCCCCCAGTCGCATGGCTCTGTATCAAAGAGAGCCGGGGCCTGTCCGCACCCCACATTCCAGTAAGTCATGAGGCCGGGAGTGCAGTTGACTGGGGCCGCCTCCCCCCGCCCATGCCTGGAACAGAAAGAGGATGGACGCACTCCCACGAGGTTTGCAGAGGTGAGTGATTAACTCCCAGCATCCTCCCGGCAACCCGGGGAGAATTATGTCCACTGAATAAATGAGGGGAGTGAGGTTCCAAGTCTCAGGTCACTCGGGGATAAGGCCCTGGCAGAGCTCACTCTGCCTCCCTCCCTCCCTCCCTTCCGGTCCCCATTCTGTCACAGGCAGGCAGGCAGACGCAGGGGGCCTCCAACTGAGGGAGGGGCACCTCAGTTGGTGACTGGGAGCTCAGAGGAGGAAGAAGGCTGTGAACACTGAGACAGTCACGGAGGGCTCCCTGGAGGCGGAGAGAGGCAGGTCAGCAATGCCGGGGCAGACAGGGTTTTTGGTGACATGCAGGGAGGAGCAGGGACACTCACTTCCTCCCCAGGTATCTGACGTCCTCCCACCAGCTGCTCCTCGGGCCCCCCGTGGCCACCTCCTCCTGCTTCTCAGCAGCTCCCCGGGGAGGGTCTGGAACCAGCACGATAAGCAGGACCAAGGCTACAGCTTCCAGGCAGGGCATGACCTGGGCACGGAGGACCCAGGATCTCAGGGCCACACATACACCCCTGCGACCCAGGAGACCCTGCACGTGGCTGAACCATGTGGCCCAGGCTCCGGGAGGCTCTGTGCCCTGGGAGGGGTGGGGCAGGGGGCTCATTTCCTGACTGCCCCTCACCCCTCACCCCTAGGAATGCAGCCTCTCTGGGGAGTAGGGTCCCCCTGGGACTTCCCTCCATACGGTGTGTTCAGTGATTGCTCTCTTGGGGTCCGTGAGCCCACGTGGCTGAGGACTGGCACCGACTGGGGTTCTCACCACCTCCACCTGCCAGGCCACTTCTGCCCTGGGATGTCCCCACCCTTGTCTGTCCACCTCTGAGATTCCAGGAGGCAGCACGTACTACCCCCGCTTTGCAAGCCACTTGCTTGAGCTCACGGCCTGAGCAGACCCAGCAGCCAGCATCTGAATCCAGGGCCGTGACCTCCACAGTTCACGTTCTGTCAAACGTCTGAAGCTGCCAACGTCTGACCACCCCCCACGGCGCCAGCTACCGTGCCAAGTGGCGAAGGCCACTGGAGGCTGGAAAGTCCCTGCCTGCCCAGGGGGATCAGAGGAAGAACAGGAGGCTGGACTCACTCGGAGGGCCCAGCGCCAGTTCCCGGTCAGCTGCAACACGGCCGAGCCCAGCATGTAGCCCAGACCACTGCGGCAGAGGATGGACAAGGGGGTGGGCGGTGAGGGGGGGGTGGGGCGGGGCAGTGGTGGGGAGGGGAACGGGAGTGAGGGGGGAAGGGCAAGGGGATGGGCAGTGGGGGAGGCCCAGCCTGAGCCCAAGGCTGCGAGGCCAGCCTGAGCTGGGGCGCCCCACCCCAAGGGGCCGGCTCTCTGCTGCTCACAGCCCTGTCACAGGAAAAGTGAGCCACATGAGGCCCAGATGTCCACTGCCCTTGGTCAAGTCACCGGTGACCTCTGGCTTCAGGCCCGTCTCCAGCACCACTGCCCCTGCCTCCCTATCCAAGGACCCAAGGCTCAGCCCTGCCTGAGTCAGGCAATGCCAGGAAACCTGGCTCAGAGCTCTTGGGCCCGACTGCAAATCCACTCTGACCTCCCCCACCCAGGGGAGCCCGCCCCGGCCCCACACGCTTCCCCAGGCAGGCCTTCCCAAGCGTCCTACGGGGTAGGAGGCATCTTTATTCCCTCGAACCCTCAACACAGCCCATCAGCCAGTGTTCTTGCCCCCCCTTTACAGATGAAGAAACTGAGGCCCAGGGTGGTAAAGGGACAAAGCGAGGGAGGAGCCCTCCTGGTCTGATGCCCCTCCTACCCCAGCCCAGACTATTCTGGCTCCTTCGGGCCTCAGTTTACCGCCTGGGGGAGCGGGTCCGGGGTGGCACCAACCTTCCGACAGGGATAAAGATGTAGAAGATGGCCAGCACCCGGGTCCGCTGGTCCCTCACAAAGAGGTCGCCCAGAATGGTGGGCGCGATGGTGGAGTAGCTGGCCGAGCCGGTGCCCACGACTCCCCGGGACAGGAAGAACAGCCAGGAATACTGGGCAGGCAGGCACAAGACCCCAGTGAGCCCCAAGATCACCCTCGGGGTGAGGGACCTGAGCGAGTGTCAGAGGCCCCAGGTCCTGGTGACAGGAGCCCCCCCCCCAACCCCCCGGGGTGGAGGAGGGGATCTGGGCTCACAGATGCCTGGCTACCCGCCCAGCCCAGGTCCCCACATCACACGGGTGCCCCCTGCTGGCGCCTGCAGCCACTGCCTCCCCACCCACTCTCCCACCGCCCAGGGGAGCCCTCTTTCTGGGCTGTGCCTTTGCCAGCCAGGCATGGGCCCCCAGACAGTGGCTGTCACCTCCACCTGCCCCCCACAGGCAGCAGCGGGAGGTGCAGGAGAGGAAGTCTCCCGCTGAGAGAGTCTAAGGGGGTCCTCTCTCGGCCCTGGATGGCGCCCCTGCAAGCCAGCCTGGAGCCCACCCATGTTTTAACGGGAAGGAGCAGGTGGTGGGAGCAGGGGGCAGATCCAGGGCGCCTTGCAGGGAGGAGGGCACCCACCTGGGGGGAAATGAAGGAGCTGGAGAGGCCCGCCCCTGACCAGAGCAGGATCCCAATGCTCAGCGTAGCTTTGCGGCTGTGTCGGTCGCCCAGGTAGCCAAACACAGGTGCAGACAGCAGCAGGCAACCTATGAAGACTGGAGGGGACAGGCCGGGGCCTCATGCATTCCCCCGTGGTGGTGGGCGCGCACACGGGCCTCCGGGCCCGCAGAAGAGGCCTGGCTCAGGTGCCGCAAAGCTGGCACCCTGGCAGTGGGTGGAGGCCACACGACCCACGGCCCCGAGTCAGGGGAACTGAGAAGGGGGTGGAGGGAGCTGGGCCGGCTCAAACCCCGGCTCTGCAGCAGGCTGGCTGTGCAGCCTGGGGTTACTAACTCCACCCCTCTGAGCGTCCCCGAGCCGCCAGCGCTCGGTGCACGCCAGGCCCCGCGTCTCTGCGGAGCTGTCCGTCCCCTTGCCTGGCTGGGCCAGGTCCGATTTTGCCGTCACACCCCTGCTGGGGGCGGGAGGCAAGGGAGGCCTGCCCGGGCCTGCGGTGCAGACCTGCAGGGTTTAGAATGAGTGCAGTCGTTCCCGGAGGCTGGAAAAAGGCCTGGTTTTCCTAAGCAGGAAGAACATTCCCCTGACACCGTCAGTTGTATTTGTTCCATTTTTTTAAAGTAAACCCTTCTGAATTGGGAGACTGGGTTAACGAACGCGTTTGCTACTCTGTGAAGGCAAAGAAACTGCCGCGTTTTCGCACGACTCTGCACCCTCGCCGCTCGAGTCCCTCACCTGAAACCGTCTCCACCCTCCGAGGGAGGGGGGGGCGTGTCCGCGGCCGCAGGTGAGCGCGGCGTCCGGACCCGCCTTCGCCCGAGGACCCGCCCCACACCTGGGTCCACATTCGCTGAGCGCTCATGATCGACATTGCCTGAGCCTAATGAGCGTCCAGACTCGTCCCAGCCCCTCCCACTCCGCCCCACCCGCTCTGGTATTGGGTGGAGCCGTGCGCGGTTGCAGAAATTAGGCCAGTTTTGACCTACAAAAAATAAGGCAATTTAAAATGGTTCGACCTAATACTCCACAGAGAATGGTCTTTGGTGCCAGGGACATTTAGAATTTTAATAGCTACCTCCAAAATAGGCCTCCAAAAAAGGCTGTATCCGTTTACACTCGTGCAGAAGCGCGTATCTCAGCTCCCTTGATATGATCAGTCACTTTGTTCCTCTTATTTTTTTTTTTAATTTTTTTTAACGTTTATTTATTTTTGGGACAGAGAGAGACAGAGCATGAACGGGGGAGGGTCAGAGAGAGAGGGAGACACAGAATCGGAAACAGGCTCCAGGCTCTGAGCCATCAGCCCAGAGCCCGACGCGGGGCTCGAACTCACGGACCGCGAGATCGTGACCTGGCTGAAGTCGGACGCTTAACCGACTGCGCCACCCAGGCGCCCCACTTTGTTCCTCTTAATGGTTGAGGCACAGACGGTGTCTCGCTGATGTTTTAATCTGCATTGTCCTTATGTCAGTTCCTGTGCTCACACCTTCTGCCCATTTCTCTCTTGGGCCCTTGTGGGAATTGCAAATAATTTCTCCCAGGCCTTTATGTTTAAGGATTTAAAATGCAAATTCTGGGCTCACATCCCGACCCAATGACTGCTTAGCTGTGTGACCTTGGGCAAATTCCTTAACTCTTCTGTGCCCCTCGAATCAACTATATAATGAGATAGCATTGTGCTTCCTGTAGAAGGTTATGGAGAAGATTCAATGAAGTTAAGCATATAAAAAAGGCAGTGACTAGCTTTATGTTAATGCCTAATAAATGTCATCCATTGTTGTTACTAACTGCATTTATGGTTTCAATCATGTCGAGTTTACCTTCTTTACCTTGGTGTCCTCAAATGTGTCAATACTCCCGGTGTGGTGTTTCTTGTCTCCTTAATGCATCTCTTCTCTACCCAAAGGTTATAAAAATACTTCCCCAAAAGTTCTAATACTTTTATGAGATTCGGGGCAGGGATCCTTTATAAGATCTAAACACCTTAAACCCACAGATGCCCTGAAATGGAGAACCTTGCCCCCAAAGGAAGGCACACTCACACACACACACACACACACACACACACACACACACACACACACTCCTTTGCTCCTATAGCATCCAATGACTTCTGTGACAAATGGGAGCGATAAAAGAGCAGCGGGTTAAGAGAAGGACTCCACAGGAAGCTGCCTGGATTTGATCCCAGCTGTGTGACCTTCAGCAAGCCCCATAGCCTCTCTGTGCCTCAGGTTCGGCATGCATAAAATGGGCATAATAACAATACCTGCGTCGTGGGTTTGTTGTAAAGATTAAATGAGTTAATATCACAAAACACTTGAGATAGTGTTGGGCACATGGTAAAGGCCACATCATTAAATGTTATTAATCAACGAACTAACTCCAACAGCCAGTCTGTCCCTTTGGAAGGGGGGGGGGTCTGACCACTGCTAACCCCCACCCTCTGCCCCACTCTTACAGCTCAGCCACGGCTGAGTCAGGGGCTCCCTCCCTTCTGCAGACACAGGGTGGGTCTCAGGCCATTTCACGACAACCCAGAAAAAGGCGAAGACTCACCCGAGGTCACTGGAGACAGCCTGGTCATCTGGTCATCAACCTGACTTCCTTCTCCACATACCCTTTGGGCTGCTTCTGCAGAGTTGAGCCTCCCTTCACACACACCCAGGCACACGCACATCCTCTCTACACACTCACACACATACACACACGTACTTTCTCTCTCTCTCTCTCTCTCTCTCTCTCTGCCCCTCTCCCTCACCTGCACAAACTCCTTCCATGACATCTCATTTATCACCGCTTTGTAGTAATAATCCTGTTCACCAGGGAGAGGACCAGGGGGGCAAATATCGACTCACCTCCCATTATCTGTTTAACCTAGAAGTTGCGGGTATCGAGCTGAGATGGTCTCGCTTTGGCTACAGAAATGACTGGAGACCAGCACCGGCCTCAGCCCTGAGACAAGAGCAGTCAGAACGGACCTGGGACGTACACGGTGGCCTGCTAACTCTTTTCCTCCGGTGCCCTTTAAAGACGTTTGTAGAACTACGTACCCCTTCATGCGTTTTCAGCCAACATTTACAACGTTCTCATCCTAAGTTTAAATAATTGCTAAGGATGTGATTTCCATCGTTATTGTATTTTTTTTACACGATATTTGCATCTAAACCCTTGGGGCCACAGAGGCGTTCATTGCATTCGTGGGAAACGTCTGCCATCTACGGACATCGCTTTAATGAGCAAACCAGTCTTTATTCGCCGAATCAATCCAACAAATCAGGATGATCGCCTGTGAGAAAGATACTAAGTATTCAAAGATATCTGAAATAAATGTGTTGACACACATCCCTGAGACAACATCTTGCTTCTGAATGCTAAATTGGAGACAAATAGTAGACTGTCACGCCAGCAGGAAGACAGACAAGGCTTGGCACTTGGCCACGGGTCTGTGGCCTGGAGGAAACACCCCCAGTGGGTTTGTACTGACACCCTCTCTGCTATGCTCCCACAGCCTCGCACGGGAGCCCAGCATCTGTGAAGGGTCCCGTCTGCATGGCACCCTGGAGGCTTCCACACCCCAGGGCTGGGCGTGGGAGAAACACAGAATAGGGAAGAGGGACATTTTCCTGCTTGGAGGGGTGAGGTGGGAAAGAGGAACCAGGAGCTTTCTCTCAGGCAGGTCCATTTTAGGAAAGAAAAACACAGGCTTGAGGGTCTGTAAGCGGATTCTCTCCCAACTCTGCCCGTGTAGCCCCTGAAAGGTTTTTGTGTATCCCCAGGGGTCCCACTTGTCGCGAGACTGTTGGGGGAAGGAGGGTCCACAGAGAGGGGCACACGGGTGCCGGTTACGTGTTGGGTGTGTGCACACGTGCGTATCCGGTGTCGTGACAGTGAGTGTGCCCGTGGGGGCACGTGTGCGTCACCGTGGATGGAAGGTGTGGCTGGTCCCCACCGCCGGACTGTAGGCCCCGTGGGCCCAAACCCCATCTGAACACATGTGGGAAGTACGTCTGTCTGTCTGTCTGTCTGTCTGAGTTCCGGGGGCCAGATTCTTCAGGCCCACAGGGGAAAGCACGTGTCGGGATTTCTCAACCCCAGCCCGTCTCTCGCCCCGGCCGGGCTACATAGGCACAAGAGAGCACGCCACAGTCATGATCTGAAGCTCAGGGGCCTTCTCCAGCCGTCCTCCCCGCTCCCGCAGAGTCTGCACTCAAAGCCGAAGTCCCTGCTCAGGCACCGGGCCGACCTTCTCCCTTCTCCTACCCACACTGCCCTCACGCCCAGCACCACTTTTCCTCAGCGTCCCCTCCTCTGTGCCGGGGGGGACTCAGCGGGGCTCAGCCTGGCCCCCATTTCCCAGCAGCTGGAACTAGGCCCCTCCCCAGCATGAGCCCAGGGCCCCAGCTCCACCGGGGACTCAGCCCTTACCTGTCTGAAGCAAACCAGCACAGCTATCACTGATCTCAAAAAACTTCTGTACGTCCAGCAGCACTCCTGTGGACAGACGGACAGCGCTCAGGAAATGGGGAGTGGCCCACAGGGCTTCTAAGGGCAGCTGCCCCTGCGTCTGGGACAGGGCCCCAGCGGGCCAGCACAGGGGGTGACTCGGGGCCCACGGTTCTCTTCCTCTCTGTCCCACACGCACGTACAACCACACGCGCACACAGATGGGGGAGCACGTCCACACGCCCGGGAGCACGTATCGCAGAGGCCCAAGTGTGTGCATGCATTCTGACACATACCGTACACCCTGGGACACAGACGCACGCGCACACTGACACGTGCACAGAGAGGCGCCCACGTGTCCCACACACGTGTGCCAACCTGCCACCATCGTCAGAGTGACGGGAGGCTCCCCACGGCTGCACAGCTGCTCGCTCAGACTACCGGTGGGTACTTTTGCTCCTGTTTTGTTTCCTTTTAATTTGTAGAGAGAAAAAGAGTGCGCAAGCAGGGGAGGGGGCAGAGGGAGAGAGAATCGAGGGCAGGCTCCAGGCTCAGCGCAGAGCCAGATGCGGGGTTCGATCCCACGACCCTGGGCTCACCACCTGAGCTGAGAATCAAGAGTCAGACGCTCAGACGACTGAGCCACCCGGGCCCCCCTAGACCACGGTGTTAGTGGAAGTTCCTGGGACTGCAAGGCCACAGCCCTGCTCGGGTACGCGCACCCATGCGTGAGCATAGGCGTGCAGAGACACATGTGCACACGCGTGTTCTTCCAGACGCACGAGCAGTCACGACAGTGCATGTGAGCGCTTCAGAGACAGGCCCCACTTAGGTCCGACCTCGGCCCGCCTCCCTGAGGGTGGCAGGCCCCCCAGGGTCTTCCTAGGCCAAGGCCGGTGCCATGGGCACTCGGCTCAACCCAGAGGGAGGAGACGACCCGACACCAGGCTCCGATCCCCGAAAGCACAACTTCAGGAAGAGGTCGTCCAAGCGGAGGCGCCTGGTCGTCTGAGCTGTGAGGCCCTGGCCAAGTCCTTAGAAAGAAAAGCAATCGTCGTTCTCATTGGATTATGAGGTGGCCGAGGCCCAGGCCCCTGAGCGGGGCCCCGCGCTTGTTCCCTGAGAGGCAGGGACTGTCACTGTCCCCCCGACACGGATGAGGCACCCTCCCACCAAGTGCTGCCTGCAGAAGCGGCCACGCGGTGGGGAGGAAAGCCGCACACCCACACGGCTGAGGCCTGTCAGCAGGTAAAGAAAGACCAAAGAACCAGACAAGAGAAGA